AATAGGTTGCTAAGAATTTACATTTGAAATTAATAGTTCAATTTCCTGAATGGATGGTAAATCAAGCCTCATCAGTCATCAACATCGCTTCCACCAATCTGAGCTTCGAGAGCAATCGAGTAGTTGCTTCCATCAGGACCGAGAATCTGAAATCTGCTAAAGAACAAAGAAAATCACTCTAAAAACTTTTAATGCAGCAACCACAGACACCAATTTGGTTTTACCTCTCAAGGATAAACTTTCCTTCCTTGTACTTCTGGGATTTCTCATGTGCAGCCTCCTGAAATTGATAACCAAAATATGAGTTTCATACAGCCATCAGCGGTGAAAGTACTGTAAATATCCACACAAAAAACATAGTTTTGGAGAAAATATCTTCTTACATATTTCCACCCCACATTTGAGCCACATGAAACACAAAATATGTCAGCTACAGTATGCAATCCTGTTATCATGATCCGCTCTTCTTGCTCTCCAAGTGTGACATTTACACTGCCATTGGGGAAACAAAAGGTTAATTCAGCATTCATGTGTATAAGCTGCAGTTGGTGTGAGTTATGCATAAGCCGCCTTCATAGGATTCAAGTGAACGAAAATGCTTTTTTGAGACAAAGACATTATGCTGTCATCGATTCATTATTCTCTTTCTTTTTCCACCCTCAAAGTTAAGCTTTCAAATTTATCAACATAAATGAATCTTCTGGCCAATGTCAAACCATGTTTGGTTTGCTGCTATAAGTCATTCTGTATCGGTGGACAAGAAAAAATACGTGCACATGGAATGAGCAAGTTTTTTGTCACAAGTGAGACCAAAATAACTTGCACACCCATGACCCTAAAAGTACATAAGCATGCATCAGCATAGCTATGGGTGAATCAATTTCAAATTTTCAAGAGTAAAATAGTACTGCACTTACACTTTATCGAAAAGATAAGCCTTTCCATGCCTGCAGTGAAAAGACTGGAACAAAAACAAAAGCAAATCACAGGGTTAGAATGTCACTAATCAATCCTGATATCAAACATATAACATCATAAAAGAGGGATTAATGTACATAAGCATCAAGCAAGAAGTGGGAAGATATGATCGAAAAAGACAAGCCAAGAAAAACCTTGCTGCTCTCAGATGGGTAATGTAATCAGGACAGTATAAAGATAGCTTTTTTGAGAAGAGGACAGTATAAAGATAGCTTTGCGGCATAAGTTTTACACCGATACAATATTTACAGGGATATTCAAGCTACTTACAATTAACCAGAATTTAAGAGGTGTTATAGTGCGCAAATAAATAATTAAAGAGCTACCAAACTGCATCGCTTTTGTTTCCATATAGTTGACGTTCAAACCAACAATAACGCAAGTAAGCCGGACAACATTTTGGCCTATAATTAGAGTCTTAGAGAACAGAGACGCAAGTTCCCATCTAATCTTGCAGCCAAATTTAACTATTAAACCAGGAAAGTGTAAAGTAGATATCTTTGACCTAATCTTAGCAGGAATTAAGTACCTAATTCTTCTCCAGCAAGTAAAGCATTAATCTGTGCTCCAGCAAGTAAAGCCATAATCTGTGTTTCTAGAATTGCATGATTAAATCCAATACCATCATAGAGGCTTTACAGATAAAGGTTCTAAATTTTGAGCATTTTGTAATGAGCCATAAACACAATTAGGAAATGAAACGCGCAAGCCATTTCACAAGAAGCCAAAGCTGATTGTAATGAGCCATAAACACAATTAGGAAATGAAACCCTGCACCACTAATAAAAGAAGGAACCGAGAAACAACCCAATGTTTAAGCTTCCAATGTCAACCACTTTGAACATGAACGATCGCATTGCACTACGGTATAACGGTACCACAACTCCTCAATATCACAAACAAAACACTCCAAAAAAAAAAAAAAAAAAAACCTAAAACCAACAATGTACATATCACAACTCCTCAACATCCAACGATTAGACCCACACAAATTACATTCATACGCCTAATACCGATCAATCTCTCTTCGAAAATCGCCACACATTTACATATCACAACAATGCATCCCAATTTCACAAAGTTCATGAATGTCTAGGTAGAGTGCATTATGCAAATAAACAGTAACAATCCATAACAAACAGAATTACGGAGAAGGCGATTTCGGACCTTAGAGATTACGTCGTCCACAAGACCGAGATGGGTTCTGCAGTGCTTGCAGCTATACATGTTTTCCTCAAGAGTGGTCACAAACAGCCTTCCCATTTTCTCACGTACAATTCAACTTTCTTGATTTCTTGATTTTCTTTCCCTGCAAAAACAACAAGATCGGCCTCCATGTTAGAAATTCAAGCATTCCAAACGAAACCCAGAAATTATCTCGACGAAAATTTGAGAAAAATCAATGTGACTAAAACCTCAAAATTTCAGGGAAAAATAACGAAAAAAAGAAAGAAGAAATGGTGTACAATGCAGGCATGTATTTCCAATAACCGTGTAATATGAAGGACAAGAAGAAGAACAGAACGACGACGTACAAATGGGTTTTTGTGTGATCTTTGCCGGTAGTTACAGAGGGAGCTGAACAGAAACGAAAGCTTTCATTGAGATTTGAGAAGAAGAGAAGTGATAGCTTTTAAACAGAGAAAGTGCTTTTCCGAGTGTAAATATATAATAAGACAATTAACTTTTTTCATTATCTCATTTTTATTTCTTTTATCTTTTTTAAGTAAAATAATTTGTCTTTAAATTATAGAAATGTAATTTAAAAAAAAAAATTAGAATGAATCTGATAACTTCAATGAAAAAAATGTAGATTTTAAAGAAAAGATTAATACCAGGAAAATCTATGTGTTGGGTGGGTTTTCGAAGGTCATGTTTTGGTATGTTGGGTTGTTTATCGCTAATCTCTCATCCCTCGTTAGAGTTAGCAAAATAAATTATACGTATTTTTTTAAACAGACGATATTATTTACACTGGACGGTAAAAAGGTGGGTTTAGCCTCACAATAGCTACCAATAGTGCTGTTCAAATTCGTTTATATTTAAAAGTTAGTATCATTCTATCACTTAGTACTACGGTCTGGTGGTACTTCTCTTTACTTGAAAGTGAAAGGTCTTATGTTCGAATCTCGTGGATAGCGAATTCGATACCAAATTAGGCTGTCCATTGTGTGGCTTTGCCAAACTTCCCCTCCCCTTAATGTAAAAATATCGATGTACTCAAACAAAAAAAAGTTAGTATCCTTCTTTAATTTGATATGTTAATCTAGAAACTGTTAATTAATAGTCTTTGCATCACTATCGAATAATGTTAAATTCTCGGATTAAGCATTAAATTCTCTAAGAAGAATGAATTTTCATTTCTCTATTGTGTGAACCGATGACTCATAGGATTAAAAAGACAATATATTTCATTATTATTCTTTGTACAAACGAGATTCAAACTCAAGCGTTAGGAGATCACTCCGCTCGCTAACGTGACTACGTTCATATGCATCACGTTATTATTATTATTTTTCTGAAATAAATAAAGTTTGCACATGTTTAAAACTTTTCAAAAGAAAAAAGAGGAAGAATTATCATGGCCTATTGTTTGGTAAAACAACTCGTCGCCAATAGGAAAAGGCGACGGTAGAAAGGGGTTGGAGAAAGAGTGCGAGGAGGAAAAAGCCATTGTTTAGACCATCTCCAATCCTTGGGCTAAAAACCAAATTTTTTAGCCCGGAAAATTTAGCTTGTAGCCCAGAAACATATTTTCTGCTTCAACCCTTCTACCCTAAAATTTTAGCCCGGAATTATTAAAGAATAAAATTAGCCTAAAATTTTTTCTTAAATCAATTTTAAAAAAATAAATAAATATGTAGATTATTGTAAATTAATTTTATGAACATTTTAATCTAAAAAAATTTAAATTCCGATAAACATTTTGCATTTAGCCCGGGGGGAAAGCTGGGGGGTATTTGGCCCAGAAATAGCATTTGGCATTTAGCCTAAAATTTTAGCATGGGTTGAAGAGTGTTTGGGAGGTAATTTGGCTTTTAACCCAGGGTTAGAGATGGTCTTAGCGAGACATGCCATGAAACCCAATGAGACTCTGATTTGGCTGGAGAACGTAGAGAAGATACAATTCACCAAAATCCCTTTCCCAAGAAGGTGCCAAAGGACACGAAAGAAACGTTTCACTTGGTGTGACTAGACCGAGGCAGAAAAAGCCAACCCAATCCAACTAGACATGGTTCTCAAGAGTCTAACGCCTAAACATCTAGGCGGGCTTTAGGCGGGCGTAGGCGATTATTTTAATTGTAATTAAATATATTACATAGCATATAAAAATATTTATTTATACTTAAAAAAACATATAATTGTCTCGCAATACATAAAATGTAAAGTAGAGATTATCTATTTTTTATCTATGTAAGAGTTGCAACATAGGCGGCCTACGCCCATTCTTAGATTTTAAATGCATAAAGATTAATCCTGATGGTGACAACCGCCTAGCGCCTAGGTGAGGCCTAAGCGGGGCTTTTTATTTAGAATGCTAGACATGCAACTTTTTTCTTTCCCCTTTGTTTTCCTCTTTTGACAAGAAAATCTATACCATCACCAGTTTTATGCAGCCATGTGTTTACTTTTGTTATCACGCGACTATTCACGCTGTGATGAGAGATAGATACGTAATTGCTCTTAGAACTTGGTGATCCCACATCATATAACGTACCTTAATTCTTGAAGTGGTTTAAAGAGCTCTTGGTCACCTTTCCCTTACAAGTAGATTTTTAGGGGCAAGTTTCTACTCTTAGTAATTGGTACCAGAGCTAGTTTCACCACGCAACTGGATCCAACTCCAGGGAAGGGACAAGCCGCCTCTACGAAGGGCTACCGCTAGGTCAGGGTACAAAGCAAAACTTCCCCAGCCTCTAAATGAAATCAAACCAGTTGACAAAAAACTAAGTTTTTCTTGAAACTAAGTTTTTGTTGAATCAATAATCTAGAGACTGTTAAATTGACCAGTGGACGAGATATAGCACAAGAAAATAACTTGATAGAGAACGAAACAAGAGCTAAGACAAAGGAACTTGATGAGCTGATGGCTAAACCTCGAGGAGGGCCGGAAGTTCAAACGACCTTACTTGATCTTCCTTGACTAATAATATTCCAATAAAAGGCTGCTGCCATGGCAAATGGTCAAAATATAAGAACTCCAGAAAGAAAAAAGTATATGTTCTCCCGTTCAAAAGTGGGGATCAGCAAGTGTGTCCAACTATGACGATGAAATCGTGTCTTGCGGTGTTATTCTCTCAACAGCACCCATTCTCTGAGGAGGCCACACAATGTGGGTAACCCTTCCTTGAACTAAACCCAGAGGAATCTGCCAACAACAGCTTGTTTAACTTAGCCAAAGTGTCCAAAAAGTAGAAGAAAGCCAACATGTTCATAGGTAACTTCTGAAAGAAATTCCTAAAATATGTCAAGCACTACACTTAGCATTACAAAAACATCTAGCATAACCTCGGGTTGCAAACTTCTTCCAAAATGATAAGTCTTGTGCTAATGCCAAACTAATTATATATACAGCAATTCAAATTTATCGTGTCCTGAAATAACATACTGTCTCATTTAAGCGATTTCCATCCTACTCCGCATTTCAAAAAATTTTAGAGTATGCATAAACAAGCAGAGTGATTTGCCATAAATATACAGAAGTAAGTTCAGATACCTAGTCAGAGAATGGTTTCCACATCTTTAGGCACCAAATCAATATAATTAAGGCCACGATGATAAATTATACTATCGTTAAACTAATTGTTTTTAGTGCACAAACTTAGCAGTAAGGGGAACTTACTGGTCCAAACGACTTTGAATCCAAGCTAGAAGATGAATTGTCTCCCTCAACCCAACAATGTCCTTCTGGAATTTTCACCACGTCATAGGAACGACGCGTTCCAATCCACTCACCAGGTAAGGCAGTTATTCTCTTTATGTGACTCTCCTTGTGGTTACTTGGGGAGCTGCAAAATGTTCCAACAAGTCTAGTTTCTTATTACAATTAACCAGACAGGCAGACACAAATGGTATTCGAGCAGCATTGGGGGCAAAAATTACCGGAAAACTACCACGTCACCATGTGAAAACTTGTAGCTTTGAAGACACCGTTTCTCCACCAAAACATAGTCATCTGCAACCAAATCACAATCAGAGCACTAAATAAAGCATCACATTGCACAGCACAACAATCTTAACAAGATATCTTTCAATATACCAACCAATTGGCAAGCCCATCAAAGAAGTAGTTCCAGGGTTTAACGTAGGCGACATAGAGGAACCGCGCACCGGAGCAACACTCGCAAATCGGTCTGAAACATATAAGCCTATGATCCCACATGTGAAAAACTTGTTGCCGAAATTCCACAAACCACTCCGAGTTCCCATGGTCAATCTTTTTCCGTAAATATTCACATTTCATGTGCAAAATGCAACCATCTGTAACATTATCATCAAATTTACCAAACATAAAAGACAGTTCATAACTAACGCAAAAGATTTATACAAGCAAAAACAGTATCAGGTCTCTCAGAGGCAAACAATCAAACACCTGGTGAGCCCAATGGACGAGAGGGAAAGGAGAAGGTTACCATTAGGAATGTTTCAAATTAGCTGTCGAAGCAGCTTCCTTCGCCGGCGGGAGTCTTCGTTAATGGAGATGAGGCGGGAGGAGGTAGGTCGTGTACTGCCGCCGTCGTGGACTCGTGATTTGGAGGAGAAGCAAAGTCTGGACTATTTTTCGGATTTTGAGCTAACAGATGCTTTTTGCTCAAGGGATTTGAATTTTACCGGATTTGGGCCGTTTGAAGTTGCAAAAGTGGGAATTCTAAGCCCAATCCAATCGAAGAGTTAAGACTACCGAAGGAGGGGAGTTGAATTTATACCGGTTGCAGTGGTAAATACTCTTTGTGATTTTTGCTACAAGACCTTGTAGAACTCTATATTGTTTTTACGCGAAAAAAATGACTCCAATTAAGTTGATTATTGTAGTTTCGATCTTTTTTTTTTAAGAAAAACGACATTTTATAAGGAGTGAGATTCTTATTCGTCGCCAAATTAATAAGTTGTGTTATTATGGTTGAATCTCGAACTTGATATGCTATGTTTTCTTTTCTTCAATTGGGTCCTTAGGGTTTTGAAATTTTCAATTTTCAATTAGATAATTGTAATTAGATTTTATTCACCCACAAGAACATCTTAAATAGTCGATCAAGGCTAAAAGAAAATTGGTGAATGCAATATGTTTATTTTCAATCAAGTTTCTAAAGTGAAAAAAAGGTCAACTTTTTCTGCCTTAAAAAGGGATTAGCTGATGACTTCATGACTTCAACACGTGAGTCCATCATATCGAAGGTCGGGAAGACTCATAAAGGTATTTCAACCTTCCCTAACCACCATCATGTGATTCATCAATGCCATAATTGAATTCAGAACGTGTCATATAAAATACGGGCCTAGAATTCATCCCCAACCACTGAGTCATCTCGTGGTGGTTAAAAAATATACTTATTAACTCGAAATAAATTGTTTTACGTCTAAAGCAAGCATCGTAATATATCAACCATGTAGTCATTTAGCAAGTAGGAAAAGCTCACATGCCATTGCATACACTAATCCTTTGATCCCATCACAATCTTTACAAGCTTAAGCAGTACATATCATGATTCAGATAATTAATCATGGTCTACTGATTAAAAAACCAAACATGATATGCACATAAAGATACTTCTCTAAGAAGAGAAGGCGTCAATAATGGTGGTGTGGAGCGGGTCACTCAAATGGGTAGCCCAGTTGTTAAGTGGTCCCTTCCCGGTGACGGCGGCTTGCACGGCAAACCCCAGAAACGCAACCATGGCGAGGCGGGCGTGCTTGATTTCGGCCAGCTGAAGAGTGGCCTTCTTTTCCGGGTCAGCAGCAAGGCCCAACGGGTCGAAGAACTTGCCACCCGGGTACAACCTCTTTTCCGGGTCGAGCTCGGCGTTCCTCTGGAACTCGATGTAGCCAATCACTAGAACTTCGATCCAGATCAACGTGGTTAGTGAGAAAGGGAGTGGTTGACCCAAGTAGGACGACCCTTCGATGAGCTCCACCTGTACAAATTGGTCAACATAATTAGTGTTGACTGTGAGGCGAAAAGACAAAAAAATACACTTCATGCAAGCATAGTTCTTGCAATCTTTCTTAAAAGAGAGTTAGTCAAGTGGTGAGTTGGAGCGCAGCGTCTAGGCAGGAGTTTGGGTAGATTAAGCAAATTTAAGTAAATTTATTATATATTTTTTAAATAAATGTTTAATTATACCGAAAAATACATAATTTTATTGAGATACTAAACTGCAAATTAGGCGGGTATGTACGGATGCCTAAGCAGGTCTAGGTGTTATTTTTTAATTTTCATGTTTTAACTGGAGAGGTAACCAACCATCTAACGTCTAGGCGACGCTAGCGGAAATTTTAGAACAGTGAGTTCATGTAATTTGTTCGCTCATTCAATGTTACTCTGAATCTTTTCGTTATTTAAGTGATGGTGAGGAGTGACAATCAAATTATGAACTTTGTTACGAGGGAGAATATAGTCAATTTCATTTGGCACCAAATAAAAACATGCAAATAAGTTATGTACCTTTCCGGCGTCTTGCCATGTGATCCCGGTGACGGACTCGACAGTGAGAGCACCGAGCGTGGCGAGCATGGCCCACCTTCCATGAATCAGCTCGCACTCCCTAAACCTCTGCAGCCCAAACACCTCCGAGTAAGGCTGAAACGGCGTCGACTGGACGTCCGCGGTTTCGGTTCGGGTCCCAATAATGTCACCCGCCAAGTTCTTGGCCAAATTCTGGTCCAACCCGTCGTAGTCGTACTGCAAATACTCCGCGGGTTTGCCCAAACCGAACGGGTCGAACCCGTAGTCGCCCACCAAGCTCCCGTCCAGCCATTCAGGAGCCTTGGCGCCCGGGTACCAGAGCGGGCGGTCTGTTGTGAAAGTGGGTTTTGTTTTCTTGGGCTTTTTGGTGCCGAATCCGAAACGGGCCTGGACCCGTCCCGAGTTCGAGTAGGCGTCGGTCGGAAGGCGTGTCCCGATGAATGAGGATGCAGCGGCGGCAGCAGCTGCGGTTGTTGCCATGGTTGTGTGCTAAGGTGCGACGGGGGTGGAGGTGGGATCGAGATTGCAATGTATGTTTTAAGTGAATTTGATTGGGGATTTATGTGGAGGTGGAAGTTGAAGTATTTTATCGGGTTCGAATGGATGATCCTGTGTGGCGGGTTCGGGGGCGTTGGATTGAGGAGAGTATCCATCTGACGGCTGTGAGGGTATCGGCCTTATCTTCGCCTTATCTGAAAAGGGGTTTTGGAAATTTGGACACAAATAACTATTGTGGCATTTCTTGTGGCTGAGGTTACAAGTACCATAAAATCTAGTTTGTTTTTTTTTCTTGTGGTTGCCACTTCCTCGCTGATTTTCTTCTATTTCGTATTAATTTTGTACAACAGAGCATTGCTCGACTTTTTTTTTACCTGAAACGAGTAATTTATTTTTGTAAATCAGTGTTTGAGTTGCATTTTAATCATGATTGACAAGAGCCAAACATGTGTAAAACGTAATTTATCCAAACCCTGATTTACTCGAGCCGAGCGTGAATGAACTAATCACATATTGAGATTGTATAATTTGTGCATTTATGTTAACTGTGATTGACAAGTAACTAGAACTAGACCTGGCATTCGTATTGTATTTTCCGTGTTCGTATCATACTCAATATCTTAACGGGTCGTGTCGTGTAACACCCGTTGAAATAAACGAGTAAAATGACCCGACCCGACAATATTAACAGGTAATATGACCCAACTCGTCACCCGTTAAGGAAAATATATTTTAAACCAAAATCAAATGAAAAAAATATAATACTAAATAAGTATATACATAATACATACTATATTGTCACGTCCAAAACATAAAAACACATTTTTCTTTTAAGTATATTTTCGTTTACCTAAATTGATTGCTCTAGCCTTTTTCTTTGCAAGGCTCGTATTTGTATTGTCTATACTTTCACTTCCAATATCTCGTTTTGTTCCCATTATAATCTCCACATACTCCTCATCACTAAGGTTTACTGAATCTGAATCTCTAGCTTGCTTCTGAAACAAAATGGGTATAAATTAATTAATAGCTTAATTAATGAAGTAAAGTCTATAATAGTTTTTTAATTAATGTAGAAGTGTAAAAAAATATAGAAAAATATATAAACGCTTGTAATGAAAAACTTTACAACTTTCATGAAGAGCTTAACTTCGAAATTCACCACTATAATCATATAAATCATAAATCAAAATTTAACCATTGATTGTTGTTTACATTTACGCTTCATTGTTCTTATCAAATTTTGTTTTTTTTCAGTTTTTCTTTTTTGAAAACATGATCTATTAGAGGATGCAGGAAGATGAACGGTTTGGATCGTTGATATTATATTAAGAGTTTTACGGTTAGTGAAAATATTGCTTGATGTTTATAAAGTTTCTACAAACTATATGACATCGACTCATATTTCAGTTAACTGTAAATATCGAAATGTGTATCAAAGATCTGAACCGTTCATCTTCTTACATCCGTCAGATAATCATGTTTTCAAAAAGGAAAATTTAAAAAATGAAATTCAGTAAGAAGAATAAAGCGTAAATGACAATTGATGGTTAAATATAAATTTAAGATTTATGGATTATAGTGTTGGATTTCGAAGCTGACCCCTTCATGAAAGTTGTAAAGCTTGTCACTATGAGTGATTATATATATATATATATATTTTTTACATTTTTTACACTTCTACAATAATTATTATTAATTTTGCCCTCAAATAAAAAACATTATTCATGAGGGTTTGGAGGCTTTTAAAAATCTAAACGATAATGTAAGTGTAACCATTATCTACTCATGGAGGAATAATGACGAATCACGAGTTTTTATATATTCTTTCACATTTTTCATACATGTATGTATGTCTTCTTAGTTCCTGCCTATACAAATACTATACTAGTTTATTTTAATTTTGGACAACAACATGCTAAGTAAAATTTATCCTAGTAATGATAATAAGGAACTCTCATAATAAAAACAAATAATGACTAAAACTTTTTTTTTTATAACTTATATAGAATAATAATACAAAACTATATATTTAATATAAAATATATTGTATATATTAATATGGCTATTGTATTTTATAATAAATATTTTGGTAATTAAACTTTAAAATTATCAAAATATTTTTTTTCTTAATGGGTCGAAACGGGTCACCCACGTGTATACCCGTTAAGAACCCGTTATTAACGGGTTACCCAATAATAACCTAATTAGTTATCGTGTTAACCCGAAACCCGTTATTTTCTTATCGTTTTCATATTGTGTCAGAAACTATCAGGTCTAACTAGAACTAGTGGTGAGCTTGTGAATTAGGTGAGCTAAGGCGTTTTCCTAAAGCTCAATCCACAAGGAAGACCCAAGGTGTCTCAACCATAAACCCGTAAGATTAGAAAATAACTTACATATCAAGGCTTATTTTTATCACTATAGTACATAGGATCAAAGCAACGCCATCGAAATGCACTTGTTTTCGGTACAATTGGGCCACTTGTTTCTCTACAGTCTTTTTTCTGGCCCAAGGTGTGCGCACTCCCAAACATACCACGACTATCATCAATAAAACACTTCTTACAAAAACATCAAGATTCAAGACCAATGTATCCATGTCTCACCTGAATCCATGTTGATCGTGTTTTATATGATATCTTCCCCAGTAGGGTAACCGTACCAAAATTTATCTCCTACTTCATGGCGGAGCCAAAGAAGGCATAAAAGAGTCGTCGGTCAGAGAGTACATATGCCCACCTCTTTTGGATATTAATATCT